AAGTACACGCCTCAGGCACACTGCGATCATTCACCACATTCGGCCCGCGTACCCGTTCACGCCTCAGGCCCCAATCGCGACCTGAGCATCACACGCCCCAGGCCCGATCCCAACTCAGCCCGCGCCAAATGCGACAGGCCTACATGATTGAAACCCGAGCTCATGATGCCTCGGTCCAATCCCGGTCTCACCCGAGTTGATCGTGACTCGGACCGATTCTCATACTTGCTTTTTCAAGCCTCAGCCTGTGCCAAATGCAACAGACCTACGTGATCGCTGCCCGAGTTTACGATACTCGGCTCGATCCCATTCTTGTACTATCACACCTTCGCATACTTTCCCACAATCACTTGTCACACCACAACTTCTCCTTACTCATGTACATACTCGATATGCATTTACCACACGCAACCGGCCCATCACACGCTATCCGTGCACGCATCGAGTCACACGCGCATGCAGCTCACTCAACAATTCACATGGCCAATATCAACAATTAATTCGATCTGGCCCACGCGTGCACCAAACAGACATATGTCCACTATATAAACACACAAATAAGCACTCAATTAAATCAACCCCATCCAGAATAATTCAAACATGCCTAAAACACGTAAATTGCCAATTTTCTCCAACCAAATGGCGTCGGATTAATTCTGATCCTTCACGACACTTTCTCGCCATAAATTCTCGGTTCTAAAAATCCAACTTGCGTCCCGATCGGCCCATCACGGCCCCATGAACAGTAGATCACAGCCACTGTTATTTTCGAATTTCCAATAAATATTGCCCGAATTAAAACCTAAGGCCCACCACAAAATTTCCACGCCCAATTCATCCCATTCCGCACCTAACTTTATACAGATTTCGCCCAAAAATCGCCCGTCGATACCCGAAGTCCTAAGTTAGGTTTAGAGCGCGACTTACCCGCGTTCTAGACTATCGCGGCTAGAACGGAAAGCGGCGGCACTTAAACGGACACGGCGGGGACGGCGGCGAAGCTCGGCGACGGCGATCGGCTTGCGGCGGCGGTCCGGCGGCGGCGTGGGTCTTGCACGGCCGGGGGTGGTTCATGGTGAGAGAGAGAGAGGAAAAGAGAGAGATGGTGAGGTTTGAGGATGGTGGTGGCTTGAGGGCGGTGTGGACGATGGCTTGAGGGCGGTCCGGCGTGCGGCGGCGAGCGGCGGTGCCGGCGGTGGAGGAAGAACGGCCAAGGAAAGCCCGCGGTGGAGGAGGGGGAAGCTCACGGCAATTTGGGGGAAAGAAAGAGAGAATGGAGAGAGAGAAAGATGATCCTTGGACTAAATAGTGCCTATTTGACCAAGTGGAAAATGACCATATTACCCTTTCCTCATATTTTTAATCCGACGGTCCCGATTCGATCTTATGATCCGACAGCCGAGATCGATTCTTGCACAAAATATCCAAGGGCATACTTGTAATTTCCCAAAAATCCAAGGGTAAAATTGTCCAATCAAAATTTGAGAGAAAAATTACCAAAATGCCCTTTACCCTTAAAGCTTGCCCTTTAATAAATCATTGGGGTATTTTGGTCACTTTCTTCGTTTCTTGTCCAAATCGAGTTTTTCCGAAGGATTTGAGCCCCCCAAAAATTTGCACGTGTCACGTGCAACGTCGTCCTAACGTTCCGTCATGACTTCCTAATTTTCCGGTGTCCAATTTGGGCAAAATTTCAATAATTAAATTTTATTAAACGCAACTCGAGCGTTTCTCGAGCTAACGGGCGGCTTGCTGGGGAAATTCGCAAAAATCGACTCATGACTGATACTGAATCGAGTCACGTGCAAGTCCGTTCGGTGCGTGACGACCTCGGTTGTCATTAAAATCGTGAAGATCAATCACTTGATCCAAGGGGTACGATCGTTCGGTATAATTTCAGAATCATTCGTTAAGTCGTTTCGTGGTCCAACGGAATCACCCGCGATCCACTACTAGGACAGTGGCGAACTGACCCCTAACTATCCTTGGATCGGCCAACAGTGGCTCAAAATATCACTTCCGCGATTTAATGGTCGAAATCCATTCACGATCGAATTTCCTTTAGTCGCGCGAATTTAATTCTCCTATTAGCCTTTCCCTAATGGTTAGCATTCCCAGGAATGATGAGTTCCGGGCGAGAAATTTACTACAAGCACATTTCATAAAACTCAGTTATTTCATAATTTCCAATTGGCGGAAACTTCGGAATGGCACAAATAGGCAGGCTTTCAAAAATGAGGAAAGTTCTATAGGTGCTGTAAAGGATCTTTGGCTTTCCACCTTATTTTTTTCACATTGTGGTGGCAGTTATTTGGACACCAAGTCTTTCTTTAATTTTTAAGGTAAATATGAACTTCTAGGTAGTAATTTGTAAGTAAGAGGCATCCCCTTGGTGCTCTTGTTGCCTCTTTAATAGACTTACTTATTAAAAAAGAAAACAGGAGAGTCTATAACCTTAAAGAATATAACTAGAAACATCATTTCTCACTATAGTAGTAATCAACAAGAATGTGTAGCGCGTACATGAGAGTCATTGCACCCAGGAGAAGCACAGAATCTAATCTAGTTAACAACAGCCCTATAGTGTGCACACCTGTGCAAGCACATGATCGCATGCATGTGCACGCCGAAGCACATGTTCACAACATACAAAAATGCCCACATGCATGGAGAGAGATCTGGCAGGGGAATAAAATGGCAATATATTTTCTCTAGACAATAAAGGATTTACTTGAAAGAAAAAGTTCCAGTAAATCGGTATATATGAGAACAAAACAAAAGAAAAACAAACAAAAATGAAGCATTAGAAGAGTATACAGAATCAGAACATGATGCTCAAAGTCGGTTAAAAGGTACAACGTAGAAGCAACCAAAAATTCCAAACCCTACATTTTGTTGCTTTTTTTCCTAAGGCCCCACATGAGACAAAGGTGCGGCACTTCAGGACTTCTTAGAATCCTCCTAATTAGGCATTCCAACAACTAAAAAACTAGATGGCATGTTTTGGCAAGAACCAATTTACCTTAGACAAGCCGAAGATTTGATGCAAAAGCTTGGGAGCAAAGTCAAAAAGACGAAAGAGATGATCAACATTCACACACAACACCATTCTATTAAAAATCAATTACGTTTCCTGAGATTCTCAATTGTAAGAATCTTATTCCAATTTGGTGCACATTTACTACAAAACTTACACTCCCAAGAAATGGAAATTGATTCTCACATATTGGTGTTCTATGTGTAAGCATTTGGGCGAAATGTCAAGGAACAAGGAAGCTTTGGTAGCAGATTGTTATCGTTTAAACAACGAAATGATCATATGGGATATTGTGTTCGTGAGCCAAGCCCAAGATTAGGAGTTGGAAGCTTTTGCCTGCCTTCTTTTATGTCTTGCATAATTCAAAGATTTCCGTTGCTTTTAAAGATGATTTTTGTGTGGAACAACGGAAGAGATGGAATTTTTTCTGTAAAGTCTTGCAAGCTGCTCGATAGGGAGATTCGTGGTAGAACAGATTTTCCTCAAAAAGCGATTTGGAAAGTCAGGATTCCAATTAGAGTTTCACTTTCTGCTTGGAAAGCAACCGGGGAACAAATCCTTACTTTAGAAATAAGGTAAAAACTGGTTATCAAGTGTTTCCAGAGCAAAAGGAGACAGAGTCCGTGCGGCATCTCCTCCTTCACTGTTCTGGGAAAAGAATGGTTTGGACAGTTTCCTATGCTTGCACCATGTTATCTTGGGCTACCAACACACTACCAAAAACGGAGCAATACGAGGGACTAAGAGTAGTATACAAAACTGATTTGCAGAGGAAAAATGCGAGTATAATACGTAAGGAGGTCACAAACACCTAACACGAATCTATCTGGCATGCGACTTAGTGAACCAATTTCAATACTAGGACTTAACATCCTCAGCATTATTTTGCCAAAAAAGAGGTGTTATATCAAAAATCGCGATCTAAAGATATGATGAAAAATAATAAAATAAAACAATCAATTCTCACATCTAAGCACGAAACAAATGATTGTGAACAGAGGCTCCCATAACCATGGTCAAGCATCACAGATTAGATCCATGAAGGATCCATTCACTGTCATTCGAGCAACCACCAGTTAGTTTTCTGTTCATTTTCTTCAGTTAATTGAGTTTTTATTCTCATCCTTAGCTTGTTGACAATAAACTTAAAACAGGAAAGAAGAGTTTCACTTACTACATCAAGTTCAATGAGTGGAATTTGGTAGTATAAATAGGTCTAACTTCTCCTAGGCTCTAACAGTAATATCGATAGGTAAAAATAGTTGAATATGATTCTTTGGTACAAAATTGACTCTCGCAATTATGAGGGGACGTATGCTAAGATCGAAGCAGGCAATAAACTCTTTCCTTTTAAACTGAGATATAACTCTACACTTGCTAATTATAATGTGAATGTATAAACATTCTATATCCAAATCTCCATGTAAAGTACTCTTAAAGCACAAACTTAGATCAAGTTCAAGTTCAAACCAATGATTAATGACCTACAATTTCCATTATACGCTCATACGAGAGATTGCCAACTTGTTGAATCAGACTCGAATCAGATTTTACTTCACCCTTTCCAGCCACTTATGTTGGTAATTCATATCATTGCATATAATATGTTCGTATGAAGAATCAACAGCAGGATGTTCTTAAAAATATGGTGTGTCTCAAGATGTGCGAAGCATAACTTATTGTAACAAATTCCTATCTCTATCTAATCACCTCCATGACTGTTCTCTGAGATGCGTCAAACTTAATTATTTATTAGGGGAAAAGGCCAAAGGCAAAGATAATAACGTGCACCAGCAGATGATTGAGGACAACCAGCTGAAGTTCTTTTCCAGCACCACAAAACAACTTTTGATACACCCTTAATACCCGGTCACTGAACAAACTAGCAGACTAAGATTATAAAAACGAACCAAAAAAAACCAAAGTCCCATAGCAGCAGTGGAGCTTAAAAAACCAGCCCTACCACTTCACCCAGCGAATTAACAAGAAACTGATGGACTGCACGACTGGTCCTGACACCTTCGAGAAGACTCAAAAATTCGTCCTGAGGAGAGAGTCAAGACCAAGATAAGCAAATGAAAACAGCAAAATGAAGAAAAACGAAACGTCATCTGCTCCTCTGTATTAACAATACCATTCACTTAAAAGGTTTGACAGCACATCAAACTTCTCATGAAATATGTTGATGGCATCAGCCCACTGCTTATCCATGACTGATAATGATGTCAGGATGACATGAAGTAAATCTTCAATGTTCAAAGCCTGTTGGGCAACTTGATGAAGTTCTTTTTTTCTGCAGACAGAGAGATTGATTATCTAAGGAGGCATTCGGCAGATAAAGATTCTCAAAAGTCTGTTCTGATTTCAATTTAAGAATTAAAACAGAACAGAAAATGCGTTTGGTAACACTCCGAAAGCAGTTGATGCATAAAAGGAAAACTATTCTCAAAATCAAAATCACAAACTGAAGATGACTTGTTAGTATTCTCATTCCACATGCAAACAAGGAGATTTGGAATAACTAAGCCTGTTTTTTGAAAGTGATGTAACCTGAGCATATTCTCACAATTTTCATCCCTAATAACATTTATTATTTTCACTAAACAAATATTTTGTCAAAAAACTTTGAAAGCAGTTTCTATGAAAACGGAAACTAAAGGCATTCTCTAAAACTAAGCAGGCCTTAGACAGTTGAGAACAAAAATGACGTGTGAATCATGTGACAATGCTTAAAATTTTGCAACAAATTTGCCTCACAACTTTCAACATCTGAGCTTCATAGATTTCTAGAGGTTTTTACTGAAATATAGTATGATACTTACAGGTTGGGTAGAAATTGGAAGCATGAATAACATAATTCAGGCTTCGAAGTATGAGGCATCATCTTGTTCAGCTTATAATGACTCTCAAAAGTCAACTTAAGCATTTAAAATCATCAGCAGGAAAGTTCATCCATCATGTAAAGTTTAAAGTTATTTCTAAGAAAATTGCATCGAAATTGCTCCATGTTAACTGTCCATTTCTTTTTAAGGATGATGATAATATCCCGAGTTAATATGAGTTTTACTTTCCTTATGGCCAAACAAAGTTAGATACCACTGAAACAAATATTAGTGCACATAAACAACCTAACATAATCGTAATATCAAGTACAATCACCACTACATAAACTAGAACATAAGTTTCACCTAAAACTTCAATAGCATTAATCCTAGTGCAACTAAGTCATCTCTAGATTTCCACTTGTATCACCTTCATTCACTCTTGGCTTTTCTGTAAAACACCAACTCCTTAGTTCGACATCATGTTCTCAATTAGACTTTCAAGCACTTCACCTCTATATTTGTCCACCATCGAACACAAATCAAGCTAGATTGGCAATGACAGTGGTTCCTCTTGCGAAAAGGGAGCGTAGCACATTTAGGAAAAGCAAAAGAAGTAAAACGAGATAAGGTCAATGACTCAAAGGGCACACCAAGCCATTGTTGAGGAAACGAACACATTGAATAAAAAAGAGAACTTTCTCTAGTCAAAGCAATTACCAAGAGAGACTGTCCACAGCCTCTGCCAATTGAAGCGATGAAGCACCACCTTCAAGTCCTCCGTAACCATCGACAGCAAATCCTTCTCCGGATGTCACTCCGCCATCTTCACCTGCCAATTGGAAATTGAGTAAACTTCACAAATCTGAGTCGGAAGAATCGAGTCGACCGCCCATTAGGTCGCAAAAGAACGACGAACGGGAGCCGAACCTGAGAAGCCAGCGACTCCAAGAGTATGCGGAGAAAATTGTAGGAGAGGAACAGGTGAGAGAGAGAGAGAGAGAGAGAGAGAGAGAGAGAGAGAGAGAGAGAGAGAGAGAGAGAGAGAGAAAGACGGACTTGATTACGGGAATGGAGGTTGACAGTTTCAGTTCCGCAAAGCTTCTGCCAAATATAATGAGGGCAATGTGGGATGACAACATGCTAACAACCATTACCATTCCAAGGATGCATTGTCAGGGCTTGGTGAAGTTCCTGGAACATCGAGCTCCTGATCCTTTTATGATTTCAATTCCTTTTAGAAATGCTTTGCGAAAGCTCTCTTGGATATTTCAGCATTTACATCATGCTATGGAATGATAAGTGAATCCTGCCAGTGAGACAAATGGAATCAATTCAGCAACTAAGATCAACGAACTAGTAATAATACTCCAAAGTTTACGGATCTCTGTTTGTCAAACTCGATATTCTTTTTGAACTCTTTGGATCCAATTAATGGGACATCTAACATCATCAACCACAGAAGCCTTGATCAAATTAACATAGTGAATTCAACTCATGTTGCTTGCTTTTGTGGGACATAGTATGATTCTTTTCGTTATCATTATGAGCTATTCATGCATTAGAATTAATGCAAGACAATTTCAAATGGCATATAGGATACCGAAAAGTTTCCTCAGGAAACTTATGGAATTGCTTCCTCTGTTTTTATTTTCAACAAGTCAATGCACTAACAAGAGCTTATGCACAATGTAAGGGATTATTTCACAGTACAGTTGATTATGTCAAAAGACATTCTAGTTAATGTCTTGCTTGGTTCCGACCCAAAAAAAAATTGTCTTGCTTGGCTCAAAACTTCAGGTATATGACAGATGGCTATGCCAACTCTACAAACATCAAGATTCATTCTTTGGGATAATCTATTATTAGTCTTGGACTAGGGATATCCTGGATTCAAACCAAATGAACATGGATCCATAGTCAGAAAAATTCGAATTGCAATTTTCTCGATTAATCCAAAAAATTCACGATGCTTTTGCTTCTGCCCTGTTTGCTAGTTCACTCACAACCACACCACTAGGAGAAGAGCTTGTTCTTGCATTTAGCTTTTCTAGACCAATACGATCACCTTAATCAGCTAATGCAGACAGTTCTGTGAGATAAAATGTGTGGAACACAATGGTTGGACAAATTTTATCCCAAGCCATTAGAGTATGCATACGAAGGGATGCCCTATCAACATGCTCCTTTTGCACCGTAAATTCACTCGTAAGGGTACCTTAGAAACATCCTGTCATGAACTGCATGATGAGTGCAGAGCAAACTAAAACCTCACATTAGAAGGACCGACATATAGGGCCCTTCATTTAGCATTTCTCGACCTACACAATGACCTTTGGCATGAAGTGAAATACCTGCATACATCAGTTTTTATTCAGTACCTCCAGCATGCCAGAATCAATCAAACGTAGAAAATATTTATTTTTCTGCATAAGATGAAGGATCCTACCTACAGACTAATGACAAATGATGCGCTTAGAAAGCCTCTTCATGTATTTTCGTTACCACACATTGAGGGACTCGCTCGTAAAATATATTCTTTTATCCATATCTGAGATAATGAAATGGCACGTTGTCGTAATTTTGATAAATCCGCATTCCATATAACTCTGGAATTGTTTTGAGTGACTTGCTTCCAGAGATATCCAGGCTTTCCAAAAACTTCAACGTATCGAGGCCTTGAATTTCGGCTAAGATTATGCAGTCAACAACATTTAATATCTTCAGCCTCCCGGATTTTGGAAGGTCTAGCCTTTCAATGGAGGCGCACTTAGAGATATCCAGGCTTTCCAAAAACTTCAACATATCGAGGCCTTGAATTTCGGCTAAGCTTATGCAGTCAATAGCATTTAATATCTTCAGCCTCCCGGATTTTGGAAGGTCTAGCCTTTCAATTGAAGTGCACCTAGAGATATCCAGGCTTTCCAAAAACTTCAACGTATCGAGGCCTTGAATTTCGGTTAAGTTTATGCAGTCAACAGCATTTAACATCTCCAGCCTCCTGGATTTTGGAAGGTCTAGCCTTTCAATGGAGGTGCACTTAGAGATATCCAGGCTTTCCAAAAACTTCAACATATCGAGGCCTTGAATTTCGGCTAAGCTTATGCAGTCAATAGCATTTAATATCTTCAGCCTCCCGGATTTTGGAAGGTCTAGCCTTTCAATGGAGGCGCACTCAGAAATATCCAGGCTTTCCAAAAACTCCAACATATCGAGGCCTTGAATTTCGGCTAAGTTTTTGCAGTCAACTACTTGTAATTCCTTCAGGCCCCTGAATTTTGAAAGGTCTAGCTTTTCAATTGAAGTGCACCTAGAGATATCCAGGATTTCCAAAAACTCCAACGTATCGAGGCCTTGAATTTCGGCTAAGTTTTTGCAGTCAGCTACTTCTAATTTCTTCAGCCCCCCGAATTTTGAAAGATCTAGCTTTTTAATTGAATTGCTCTCAGAGATATCCAGGCTTTCCAAAAACTCCAACGTATCGAGGGCTTGAATTTCGGCTAAGTTTTTGCAGCCAGCAGCTTCTAATTTGTTCAGCCTCCTGGATTTTGGAAGGTCCAGCCTTTCAATTGAAGCGCACTTAGAGATATCGAGCCTTTGCAAAAACTCCAACCTATCGAGGCCTTGAATTTCGGCTAATTTTATGCACGATCGAGCAACTAATTTCTTCAAGCTCTTGGATTTTGGAAGGAGCAGCCTCTCAATGGAATCGCACCTAGAGATATCCAGGCTTTCCAAAAACTCCAACCTATCGAGGCCTTGAATTTCTACTAATTTCTTGCACGCTCGAGCATTTAATTTCTTCAGGCTCATGGATTTTGGAAGGACCAGCCTCTCAATTGAATCGCACTCGAAGACAGTCAAGCTTTCCAAATATATCAATTTGTCAAGTTCAAGACCTCGAACTTCAACTAGATTATCGCACTCAGCTACCTCTAATGTCCTTAGATGGATAAACTGCGAAACGTTCACTGTTTTAATAGATCGACATCTCCAAACGGTCAAGAGTTCCAACTCGAAGGGAGTGTTTAGTGATTGTGGTAATTCTGATTCTTCAATGTCTGTCGGTTGGGAGCATTTTGAATTCTTCAATAGTGTTGATGGAAGCACTTCGATGCACTCCAGAACTTCGCAGCAACCAACTCGTAGTCGCTTGAGATGGGTTAGGAGGGAAAGTGATGGCAATTTGCGGCTTCCACAGGTGACGCTCAAATCTGTTAAGTTGGAAGGAAGAGGGTCCGGCAGCGATTGGAGCCCCCAGCAGCGAAGAACATCAAGGCGTTGTAGGGAAGAAAGATTGCACATGCTCTCCGGCAATTCCCCTTTCAGATTGTCGCAACGTGAAGCATCTAACTCTCGGAGCTTTCTCAACCTCCCAATACCCTTGGGTAATTCTTCTACACCGGTGTGAGAAATCTCCAAAATCTCTATATTCTCCAGAGACTCTATTTCTGCTGGAAGCTTTCTAAGGGACAAACACCCGATCAAATCCAAGCGAAGGAGGGCCTTCATGTCTCCAATTGAAGGATCGATCTGGTGCAGTCCGTAACACCAATTGAGGATCAGAACCTCCAAATGCTTAAAAGCGGAGAGGAAGATCGTATTTTCCAAGCAATGACAAGATGTGAGGTCGAGATATTTGAGCCTCTTTGCCGTCTGGTAAAATAAAAATAATAATGATTGTCAAGGGATTAGTTTAGAGTGATTATGATTCAAAAGAAAGCATAAAAGGAAGAAAGAAAAAAGACTTGTTCTTACCATGAAAGAACTCCATCCTTCCCATTTCTCATTTATCTCGCTATTCGGCAATTCGAGTACATATAATTTCTTTAAGTTAAAATTTTTTACTTCAAAATTCACGGGACAACATTGCCATTGGAGCCATTTTAACTCCTCAATTGAGTCCTTAAAATCTCCACTGATATATGCCTCTTCGATACGAAGGAATCTTAGATTCGTCATATTCTTGATTTGTTTTGTTGTGTAAATGTCGCCATCTCGCTCAGCCATTTCATCGGACCCTTCTAAGCTGCCTTTACTCAGAATAATCGCCTCAATCTTTTCTGTTCCCTATAAGCAAGAATCAACATCCATTAATGCTATATCCAGCTAAAGTAATCTAAATATTATTTGTTCATATTGCTACTGACGTGCATTAATGAGTTCAAGAGACTAGGAACGTGAAGACATCAATTCTTTACGCCAATAAACAATATTTATAAAGGCCAACAAAGTGAAGGATGTCAACTTCCATTATAAATTTGGCTATTACCATTCGGGTCTTAAAAAGAATTATGATGTAATGGCTCATATAGAGTAAAAACTTTACAAGTTGTAATCTTCTTCTTTCCGGTACTGTAGCTTCATTACCATACTAGTTGGGACATGCGTGCAGTGCGCGAAATTTGATGAAATTGCAATGTGCAAAACAAAAATTTTGATTTGATCAATTTTAACATAAATATATATTTCTTTCTCTCTGTCTAATTTTCATATTAATTTCGTGTATATTACTTGATTGTGCTACTTACACCATTAATTAAAAAAAACATATACTCTTATTTTCCAACGGAGTAATAACTAATTGCAAGGAACTGAATATTGTGATAGAAGTTATATTAATATATTACGTACTTATTATTTTACTAATAGTAACTTGAAATATTGTTAACTAATTATTTTCTAATTATAAATAACTATGACAATAATATTAGTTATATCAATATTCTCTACAAATTATTATTTTATCATAAATTTTAGTTAAGCAATAGATTACATTTGGATATATTCATAATCATAAATAAATTATTAGTTATATTAATATTCTCTATAGCTTATTATTTTATCATTAATTTAAGTTTAACTATAGATTACAATCTGATATAATCATAATCATAAATAACTGAGTAACTCAAGAATAATAAATATAATAAACAGACCCTAATAACTTTGATGTATATTAAAAAAATTAATTGTTGAAAGTGCAAAGCATTTTTGCAATGTGAAAATTGAAGCTACTCTTGGCTACAAGCCTACATGGAATAGCTTTTCCTTGGCCCCCCAGGAATAACTATTCCTGATTGGGAAAGAATGGTAATTTCTAATCTATTTTTGAACAAAATGAAGGAATAATTGCTTTATTGGAATAGATTGGAAATAGAATAGTTCTTCCTGAGAACCAAATGTGTAGTAAGCTTTCACAAGAAAAAAAAATCACTTATGCATAAGAAGTCAAGAAGAAAAACAGAAAGTTCATGGATTTCCATATCAGTTTCTCTGAACCAAAAATTTTGTTATTGTAATTCACAATGCTGTACAAGATTTCCTGGATACTCATAGGTGATTGACATAATAATTTGGAAAGGAATCAGATCTCAATACCTAAAAGGAATCCAAGAGAAGAGTAACTATATTAAAAAAAAAGGAAGAAATCTTCAACAGAAGTAATCTACTCACATTAGTCATTTTCCCATAAACTTCCCTCTCAAAATATCAATATACCCTATCTATCTTCAAGATTTCTTTGTGTGATGTGTAACTTTTTTCATCTTAAAAAATCGGTAGCTAGAGTTTGGTCAAATCCTGAAAATAGGCCCAACCTTTTTGTACTTGGGATAAAAGTAGCAAAACCTTTCAAATGTCTATAAAGCCTAACCTTCGGCATTTACGACAAAAATAACATAACATTTCAAATGTAATAGAAATAGCCCAACTATTTAACCGTAGAACAAAGCTGACACCTGTTACAAATTTCATCCATTATCATCGTTAAATCGCCATGGGTACCCTGCATTGCTCACTCTGCTAACCTACACAATGAGCCATGTCAACCCACACCAAAAAAGATGTTGTGCTTTATTTTATGATCTTGTTAACAAACTTTATTTATAATCTTTCTTACGAAATTTCTGGCTTTTTGTAAAAAGAGAAGAAGTCATTTGTGGTCACGATTAGCGTGGTTCATTGTGCATGTTCGCACCATGAGCTATGTAGGATGACGCGGGGTGATTTAAAGCGAGAATAGGAAGAATTGATGGCATGTGTCATTTTTATCATATGAGTAGAAGGATGAGGTTGAAAGGTAATGTTATTTTCGTCCCATATGCAAAAGGCTCGGCTTCTTTTTATGATAGTATCATGGATGAAGAGCGAAATGGAGTCATGCAAAAATACTGAGATAACTATATTAAATGTACCTTTTTAGTTTAAAAATTATGATTAATTTCACAAATGCAAATACACTCACAAACTTAATTATACAAAAAATAAAAAAATTATACAAAATAGAATTTTACAGTATTTATCTCTTGGAATTTTTATTCAGAAAAAAATAAAACATTTCTCTTTCTAATGGTGATTGCATAAAATACTTTTGATGTTATATACACACATATATGTTATATATAAGGAATTTATGTTCCTATCTTATTCGGTAGGTCTTAAATCAATCCTTTTCCTATGAATATTGGTAAATGTAATTCCAAACGTAATATTACATAAAAAAAGTATCCCTTTCATTCTCCGGTATGGAATAATGACTAAAATTTCACGAGAAATGCGGGCATCTTAGTCCTATAATATTAATTTAACATCTAGATATTAATAATTTATATATCCTAAGTAGTTATGGTTTATAGTAGCATAGTCAAGCTATTTATCGCATGTGTCGAAGACATAAATTCTAGATCTTACCAACATTGAATACCCCTATCAATTATCCAAAACATTTCAAAGTATCTCATTCTTGGAGATTATTTCGTAATATACACTTTAAGAAAAATCTCAGATAATACTACTATACTTACTAAGAGAGAGCAACCTCCCTACTTTGTAATCACGTCAATAACACATTCGAGGGCAATAATAGTAGAAGGTTCTCTGTTCACTAGAGCAAGCACTAAGTAGTGGACCAACATTACTCTAAAAGTAGAACGTGGACTGAGTGAGCAAAAGAACGAAACGGTTACCTTATTTTCCTTTAGCACTTTCTGGACTTCTTCAAAGTCCCATAACCTGCTACGGTTTTGAGGCTCCCGCTGATTTTCCTCGCGAACTATTTCCCTACCAAGATCTCTCAGTTGATCATGCATTCGGAGATCATGATTATCTCCAATTTTTATTAATGACGTGAATCTCAATACTTCAATTCCCACATCAGGGAAAAAGCCACAGGCGTCCCACATATAGGATGCAATTCTCTTGTCAGTGCCAATCAAAAAGCAAGCGATATCCAAAAATATTTGTTTTTGTTCATCGTCTAATGCTTCATAACTTATCCTTAACTTTTGTCGCACTTCCTTAGGAGGCACTTTTTTTAACTTGTCTATTGTACCTCTCCAGAACGGTAGCTTTTTTCCGCACAATAATGAACCTAAAACCTCAAGGGATAAGGGAAGTCCTCCGGTGATGGACACAACTTCATGAGTGAGGTCCTTAAACTCCGTTAGAGGAGAGTCCCTTCGAAACGCATGTTTGCTAAACAGAATCAAAGATTGATTGTTATCCATTTCCATATGCTCATAGGTGTAGTCCACCCCAATTTCTTCAAGAATACTCTCATTTCTGGTGGTAATAATGATCCTACTTCCCGAAGAAAACCAATCACGATTACCAGCCAAACGTTTCAACTGAAGGACATTATCCACATCATCAAGAAGAACAAGGACCTTTTTACCTTTAAACTTGGAGGAGATGAACTGAGTCCCTTCATCCTCGTTACGAACTTCATTTTCTCGCTTCAATATATCATAGAATAACTGATTCTGTAAGTAATATGCGCCATTACGCTCCCATGATTCCCTTATATCAGCAATGAAGCTACGATGCTCGAATTGATTGGAGAGCTTGTTGTAGATGGCTTTAGCAAGAGTAGTCTTACCAATGCCTCCCATTCCGTGGATGCCAATAAATAGGGTGGCATGAGATTTATCATCCACAAATTCCACAACCTTCTTCACATGACTATCAATGCCAACCAAATTCTCAGAAATAACCAACTCAAACTTTTTCTTCAATTCGCTCAACACTTTCCGGACAACTGATTTCACCAATTCTGCTTCAAACCTGTCAAATGTGACAAGAGTTCCAATATGTGGCAACGTTAATTTTATATTGTTTAGCTATTGAGAACACAATAATAAATAAATCTGGGATAGATTGAAAAACTTTAAGAATCGTTTTTGTCACACCCCCATATATTATCATTTATGCTAAAATTAAAGTGGGAAATTGTGGTGGTTGCTTCACATGGCGTTGCCCATTCCACTATTACTCCAACACAATTTATTAAGCCAAAAAAACTTGGGGTATCACTTATGAATCTTGAATATTGTATATATTATAGATTTGAACCAAATTTTAAACTTGTTGTTTATTAAAGATACTAGGGATGACCTTGACGCAACTTTGAAAATTTTTTAGAGCATTTGAATAAGCAAAAATCCAATAAGCCAACCTAGTATGAGAGTCAGCCATCATTTAATAAACAGATCATAACTTTTGATGCAAGAGGATTTCAGGTCCTGTAATACCAATCTGAAAAGTTGTTCAGAGTGTGATATTGTGAACTACCTAAATGCAATTGAGGGGATTTCTCCTTGTTTGCGCAATTCTACCTGCTTGCAAGTTTCTACTCGCTTGTGAATTTAGTATCATTTTGGATTGGTGTTCTTATCAGTTTTCATCGACTCTAGGGATGATAACAGGTTGTACTTTATTTCCTTTTGAGTATCTATGTTTTGTGATTTTAATTGATCTAATATTGATTTTATACGGAAGTAGAAGAATAATTTTTACCCAACAAAAGAACATTGCTTCAATATATGCAGGTGTATGAGAGATATTACTTGTTGAAGATAAGGAAAACGCATTGAAAATTATTTAAACAAACATATAATAAAATAATCCTTTTTTCCAATTTATATTTCCCATCATCATAAATAACCAATTAAACATTTCTTTTGTAAAAATAATTGGAATAGCAACTAATCAACGTCATTAATGATTTAATAAATGTAACTTGGGAAGATAAATAATTATGGCTTTGACAATCACCATGCACGGTATATGATGTTATGAGCTTTAAATAAAAATCACCAATTAGTTGTACTATTAATCTCAAATAAATATGTAATTTAAAAGTTTGTGACGAAGATTAACGTAGCGTACACTATAAGCATGAAAAAAAAAGGGCACAGTGTTACAAAATCTTTGAATATAATAGTAAAAATTCATTCAAATTATCTTATTTTTCAAGCGAATGGGATCATAACAAGAATAACTTAAAGCAAAAAAATGAAAAAAAAAATGAAAAAAGAAAAACTTATAGAACTCATGCATCACAGGATCTTACTCCCAAGAAGATCTTACAGTTTTTTTATATAAAAAAAAACAACGAAAATGAAGCAGGCGAAGCATCATAACAACCAGTAAACACCCACACATATTAAAAGAAAGTAGAGAATGTCTTGGTGAGAATTTTTACCCGTCAGCTTCGTATCCTTTCAAGTTGCTGACTTCAAGGAGTCCTTGCTTCCATTTCTCCAAAATCGCTGGGTTGAAAGAAGGCCTCTCAAGTAAACGCCTCTCACGCTCATGAAATGCCTTTCCAAAACTCCCGATTTGATGTCCCACATCAGCTGGTTTCACTTTGTAGAATATAGGCAACACCATCTGCCCGTTATTATTCTTGCGCTCCATTATTTGAACCAGTTCATCCAGGCACCAACTGCTTGTAGCATAATTCTCGGAGAGAATGGGGATTAGGATTTTACTGTTTGTGATGGCTGCCAAAAGCTCTGGTCTGATGTCCTCGCCTTGGCACAGCTCGTCATCGTCTCTGAAAGCTTCGATTCCAACATCAACAAGCCCCTTGTAGAGGTGACTGGTGAAGCCTTGTCGAGTATCTGGGCCTCTAAAGCTCAAGAACACCTCGTAGCATTTTCCGGTTGACGCGGTCGACGAACTAGATGCACTGTTGTTAGTTTCTGTCAGAGACGAACTGGATCCATCGGAATTTATTTCTATCGGCGCAATCATCGAACCAGATGTGCTTGTATCAACATCTTCTGCATTTCTACGTGCACTAGTTTTCTTCTTATTGAGAAAATTGAACGCAAGCACGGAGAGAAGGATTGGTGCCACGAGCACGGCGAAAGAATGCCCAAAAATGGGACGATGCATTTCGGCTTTGCTCTGGTTCTGCCTCTTGATTTTCGCTTTCAAGTCTGACGGAGAAGAAAGCCAGAATGCCTCTCAGGAAACAGGAAATGCCTTCTTGTTGCCCATTCTCTTTTGGTTTGATTTATATACTGGAACCAGTTGGCAACCAGAATCGCACCACTAAGTCAAGCTTGTCAACCACGTGCTTAGAGTCGTTGCCTTCACGCGGCTGGAATCTCAATGCACAAGAGAATCCAAAGATAATAGACGAGGTCTGTCAAAATTTCAGTACACATAAAGTGGAGAGAGACTTGGGACGAGACTGTCACATGGGTTGCGGGAGAAGATGTAAAGTGGGGAGAGAGAGAGAGAGAGAGAAAGAGAGAGATTCGTCCGGCCCAATAATTTCCACACAAGTGCTCGGAACAGATAAAAACAAACAAAGCGTCAGGACAATGAAGAGGGCACGCTTAGTCCACTGCTTGCACCGTTGAACTTTCCTTTTTCTTTTGTTAATTTATTTCCCATCAGAAAAGGTATTTTTGTTGAATATATTTATGCTTTTAATCCCACTTAGGAATTTACCCCTCTCATTTTGAGCCTGTTAAATATTGTATTATTGAACCGATAAACATCATTTCAATACTGAAATTTTCGAGGATCATAAAAAATTATCAACGTGCTTTATATATATTTATTTATTTATTTTGTACCCGAGTACAATGAAAAGAATTTCTTTTTTGCTCTATTTCTGCCTTGATTTCTCTTTCAAATCTCATAACTAAATCAAAATGCCTTTTTTGCTTTTTACTTTAGTATATATATTTCTTTATTCGTTTGATTTATCTAATCCACCACAGTTTTTTTAATCCGATCTAATCCAATCAGTTAGCATGCACCAATAATCGAAACTTGCCAAGCTAAATATAAATTTGTAATTCAATGACCGGGACCACTAAGCATGCATTTATTGTCGCTGCCTTCATCTGGTGGAAGTTTCAATGCCCGGGAGAATCCAAGGCGATCTTGCTCAGGAAGTAGAAAACATGTGAGCAAAAAGAAAAAAAAAACTAAAAATAAAAGACAATTGCTGTATTGGTCTCCGTGGACAAGTGGAAGATGAAAAGTGGAGAGAGAGAGACTTGGACGAGAGAGAGAGAAACATACACAGTGATGTTGGGCACGCTTTAGTCCACCGCTTGCACCGTTGAACTTTCTTCTTCTTTTTTTAATTTATTTTTCATCAGAAAAGTTATTTTTTTGAATATATTTAAGCTCTTGAGGCCACTTAGGAATTTACTCCTTCTCATTCTGTCAAATATTATTGTATTAAATCGGTAAAACTTCATTTCAATTGCATTATCAACGATCGCTTATCCTGTATGTGAATGGAGGCCAATGAAAGATGGGATTTGTTTTGCAATAGCTTTAGCTTTGACCATACTCCGTAAGGCTTTTGTTTACTAATCCGGAGCCTAAGAGCCCCGCTGCAGATTTTTGAGGCATTCTTCCGTTTTAATTGAAATTGAGCTTCCATCGTCAGCTTAAAAGCTCGGGGAAGAAGAGAGGATAGATGGGGCCCACTACCATGCGAGTAAATGAAAACAGTGGGCAGGTCTGGTAGGACGATTCTCTAAATATATAATAAGGACATGGACAGCGACTTGCAATGCATCAGGACAAGAAACATGTCGATGCATCATCAACCCCTGATATATTTTATTATCTCTTGGACTAACCAAAGAGCAGCCAATGTTGAATAAGAATCTGTCGGTGGGTAGATATTTCTATGGCCCTTGCTACACGTCTTTTAAGGTGGAGACCACTTAGAGAAACATCAAAGTCTTTTCCAAGTAAGACTTTTTGAACTCCATGACAACTCTTTCGATTTCCTTCCTTGACCTTTGCACATTTCTTATCTTCCTCACTCCCAATCCCCGATCTTTCTTCCCCCTTGTTGTCGCTTCTTCCCTCGCATGCTTGCAGAACCCTAAAACCCATGCCCACGGTCATTCTCGGTGGCCGACGAGCCACTCTCCTCGAAATCACCGGCGAGTTCGTGAGGGACGGATGCGTGGGGCCTCGATTTGTCGCTCCCCATGATGTCAAAATCACACAACAAATTTAATCTATGTAAAAAAAATAGTTTTATAATTAACAAATCACTATGATTTTCCTCCTTTGTTTGGGCTTGGCTATCAAAATTACGACACTTCGTATCCCAGTACAAGAAAAATGCCATCAATTACTTGACTTAAGATTATGTCCACTCGAGGCCTCTGCCCATGGTTGCAGTGAAATACTTAGATTGTTGATTAGTGATTAGGCCTCCAACACCTTTGCAATTACGACCCTTTCACAGTCCAACAACTTATATTGGCTTTCAAGATATACATTACAACTCAATAAATGTTCGCAAAACAGAGTCCCATGAAGGAAGGTTTTAATTCCATGGGTTGAGACCCGCGGCGTCGTGCTCCTTGTCGTCGCTGTTAGAAAAGGACCCCACCCAAGGTTGGTGCACTACCCTCTTGCGAGTCAAACCGCACATAAATCCTGTTTCGTTATTAATTAATAAATTTGTGGGGAAAAAAAAGTTATTAATTACTAAAAATTGCCATTTCTCACAAATTTTAATTTTTGGTCAAACTTTTTCTCAACAAATTACAGAAAAGGAAAAAAATAAGCAACTGGCTAATTGCTGCTACCAATGTGAACCATCGAAACCTAACGCGCTTATGCGTTTTTTTAAACTAATTTCAAATACTTACTCCCCAAACGAAAATTCCCGTCAATAATTTGCAGAAAAAAATTGGAAAATCATTAATGACATATATGATATAATATGATTACATGCCCTCGTTCTTAGAAATCCAACTTTGCAATAATTACTAATTCGGAAACATTGTCTTATATTCACACTACAATTATTTACAATAACACTATAAAATAGAAAATGCTTATACCCTATGCCTATTAGAATCAGTTTTTAGGCCTCGACTATTTTCAATCAAGCAAACCTACTGAAAATATTCCGACTTCAAATCTTTACCGAAATACCCAAAAAAAAGTCATGTTGTCATTAATATATATATCATCTCAATCTGTAAGTGCAGATGCATAAAATCGTAATTCGCGGTAATTAAAATGATCATCGATTAATCAAAGTATCTTATACAATCCTTCGTTTTCCGATTCTATCAAAGATGCATACTAGTTATGACTGACTCGACTTATTTATTGAGGAACTTAAAATTAGTCTGCTTTTCTTTACAGCAAAGGGTGCAAAAACAGGAAAACAATTTTTAACAATCAATCTCATCTAATAAATGATTTATTTTACTGGAGTATATAATGAGTGCCCTTTTTTCGGGAAGCTTCAATGTGAATTTATTGTACACCTACTTGGGCCAAAAGGACAAAAAAATAATGCGAATAAACACCTACTTTTCTAAATTATGTTCGATTAATAAATTAATTCATATCTATTCACTATAAGCCCATCCTAAACCACCCACGATCCAGGTCACAGGAAAGCGCGCGGGACCTCTTTCTTGGGCACACAACACAACCGGACCAACGGTGCCAGCCGGCAGCCCAGCTATGCAGCTATACAACGACACGTGTCAGCATCTGGAGCCTCCATCTCGTTGTCTCTGTGATGCGCTGCGACCCACTGGATCACTTGCGACAAAAGGGATCGAGAGAGAGAGACGGGATGGGCGGTGGTGATGGGGCCCACGTGGCATAAAGGCTCGTAATTATCGTCCGCCACTTCTCCACCATTGAAAAGTCAAATTTGCTCCTTATTTATTTATTTTTTAACGCACCCTTTTTTGGGTCGGAATTTCTTAAACATGCTTTAAAAAAAATACTAAAGAATCTTGTTAATTAGCATTCTTTGATGCTTCTTAAAATATATAATGCCTAATGGAAAGAGCAGCGATAGAGACCGAGCATAAGCCGAAAATAGGGGCCGACCACTCATAACGAGCATGTTCGGCGAAAATTTATTATACGAATGTAATATGTGTATACATACTAAGTTGAATATGAATCATTGAAAGTGATGGATTTTACGTAGGTCTTACGAGAGATCTAGCGGTGCAGAAACTATTCAGTACGTATAATAAGTTCGTTAATTAATACATCATATATGATACTTATCAGTTGGTTCAATAATCATTTTTCCGACCGGGGTGGTTCAATTTTATAGTCAATTGCTCAACAAAATATATGTAGCATGCTTAATATTCAAATAAGGAGAGTTTAGTATTTTCAATCTTCAATCTGATTTTTTAAAAAAATGAACACTTAAAAACTAATAGAAAAAAGGCCAAGAACAAATGGCAGTGTGAGTCAAGAGAAGGCGTCACTGATGATGTATGATTTACGGGCATAGGAATCCATCCCCGTCACATCTTCCATCGAAAACACCCTTTGAAAAATCTCCCCTTAAAATAAGAGCCAAAATTTCACCGACTCCTTATGATAAAACTCGCATAAATCCAAAGTTTATCAGCCATTTATATCTAGCTGGAATCCAATTTGATAAATGATTAAAAAAATGACAATTTCCACGACCTCGTAGTTGTTGTCTTCTGAAGTTAGACCGTCCATCTAAAAATTTGCACGATCTCTACCAAATTGTTGTGGGCCTCCGAGAGGAAGCGCCCATTGTATAAGAAAAATTTGGAGTAAACGTCAGAAAGAAAGTGTACAAGCTTATGCGGTGCCGCCTAGGTGCACAAAACCTTCTTAGAAAGTGCCCCAAAAAGAGCAGAATATTAGAATTTGGATCCATGTGATGATGACGACGAACTGTGGCTCCATGAAATTCAGTTTTCTGCTATTCATTTATGGCTTCCATTTTTTTTTTCCTATGTCCTTATCGCTATGGAATTTGGATTACCAACACAGAACACTCTCTGGTGCATGCTTGAACAAAGCTGAGTTCTAGTTAATAAATGTCTGCAGGACACTTTGTTGATATGGAGTTCAGTAATAGCTACTCCTATTTTTTTGGTCGAATAATAGCTACTCCTTTCAATTGCGGTACGTACGATGTGTTTCTACTGGAGGAAAGAAGATGCCGCTTGAAGATGCCTCGATGCGAAGCGTAAATACAGACAAAAAATAAGTAGAAAACTATATTATACAAGTTGGCAAATTGACTTTAGAATAATGTAAAAAGGGGTGCCTTTCTCACAGCTCATTCGACAGGGATTGGCGTAAACGAAGTTCTTGCCTAATTTGTCGGCTGCCAGAAAAAATCGTTTTTTAGGGCTTAGTTCAAACAGCTGCTATTGATTTGTTTTATCAATGTCTAGGAAATCTTTTAATGTCTTTCTAGAGAATTCCTACCCCTTCATTAAAATAATGTCAGGCCACTTTCTATTAATGAAAAAAAAAAAACTAAC